TTGTTGTGAGGTCAAATGAGATCATGTACATGAAAGATCTGTAAATGGTAAAGTACCACGTTTTGTTAGTCCTCTTCTTTCTTTTTGGGTAGGGGACAGTCTCACGTACCCCCAGGCTGGCCTTGACGTTCTGATCTTCTTGCCCCCAGCTTCTGGGATTATAGGCCTTCACCACTCCATCTGGCCCTAATCAGTCAGATGTGTTGCTGGTTACTTCCTTTCCTCCCTCACAGTGAAATCCTTCTAGTTCATGTCTTCTGTCCTTATTGTTAGGGAGCTTGTCCTTAAACAGCACACATCCAATCAAAGCTGGTTTAACCAGCTGAGGCACTGGCACCTGCTGGAAACTCTGACCAAGCCATTTACAAGGGCATTGTAATCAGTCATGGCAGGATTGTGGCAATGGTCTGTGTTTCTGCCAGCCACAAGTTTGTTTCTGGAGGGTGGCCAGCTACTACTGGAAGAACATTCAGCTGGACAGATTCTCTTTACTAAAGTGCCTCCTAGATGGACAGCACTGGGCTAAGTGCTGGTTTGGTAAGGATTTGTTTATTATGAGACATGTATGTAAGCAACTACAAGGCGAGTAGGATGTGCTGGGAACTGTGGAATAGCTAGACAGGCTCATGAAGATTTGGAAGAGAGGCGACTTAGCTTCTTTAGGCAGTTTGTATGGCAGCTGTTTTGTTGAAACAGACAACTAATTTTGTTTTCTGGCAGTTTTTTCTCTCACGACACTACTGTTATTTATTTATCTAACTATGTATCTATCTATCTATCTATCTCTTTATTTATTTATTTATTTATTTGTTCTAAGACAGGGCTAACTGTATGTAGCTGTAACTGGCCTGGAACTTACTATGTAGCAGATGGTAGCCTTGAACTCAGGATCCTCCTGCCTCTGCTTCCCAAGTGCTAGGATTAAAGGTGTGTGCCACCATGCCTGGTCTAATGTTCTATTACTCAGTTGTTCTGTGACTGCCTCTTGAATCACCTTTTGCACATTAGTTGCAGTATGTGAGTTAGATTACCACTTGTAGGTGCAACTGACCTGGGCCAGCCATTGATAGTTAAGAATTCAAGGTCTGGGGCTGGAGCAGTGGCTCTGGTTAAGAGCACTGGCTGTCTGAACCCAGAGGTCCTGAGTTCAATTTCCAGCAACCATATGGTGGCTCACAATGTGGAGTACATACAGAGTACTCAGATTTAACAAACAAACATCCCCCCCAAAAAAACCCCTCCACAAATAAATCCTAAAAAAGAAAAAAAGATTTCAGGGTCACTGGGCATGGTGAGCCACCTGACATGGGTGCTGGGAACCAAATTTGGGTCCTCTCCAAAAGCAGCGCATGAACCCCTTTTCCATCATTTCTATCAATGACTTGAATGAATACTGTATACAAGATGATGCTAAATGGAGTAGGAAATGTAAGTCATCTCTTCAGTTCCTGCTACACTTCTGCTGCTTCATCTAGAAGATAAAAATTATGGGCTACAGACATGGGCTAAGTAAGTAGAGGTGTGTGGGCATAGGCCTGAAGAACTCAGCTTAATCCCTGGATCCCACAAGGTGGCAGAAAAATCAGCTTCCAAGAGTTGTCCTTCCACATGTGCTCACAATACATATTAAAACAGTTCTGAACAGGCGGGTGGATGGCCCATGCCTGTAATCCTAGCACCTGGAGGGGAGAGCGTGAGGACTTAGTCATCTCTGACTACACAGTAAGTTAAGTGTGTAGCCTTGTCTACATAAGACCCTGGCTCAATCCCCCCCCCCAAGGTGTGTATGTGTACTTTTGCATCTTACCCACCTTACAAAGTTACTGTCAGGATCAGATTAAATACAGTGAGTATCAAAGTGCCTTGCAGACTACAGGGCTACCTACAGGTGAGTTGTAGTAGTGCCACATCTGTAAATACCATGGAATTGGAAAGGCTGGCTGGTTGACTACTTTGGAACAGGTTTTAACCTGATAATCTGGAGTACCTAAACTGCTGGGCACAAACAAAAAAAGTTACAAATATCAAGTCATATAGCAGTTACAAAATGTAGTTACACAAGCTTACAGAGTAGAGTTTCTGGCAAAATTCTAGTCATAGTGATCACTAATGTGAACCATTTACAGTCCAAGGAAACAAACATCTGGAGAACAAATGTCCAGGTGCTAAAGAAGTCTGCTTGGAAGCCCTGCTGGTTACTGTGTAGGCACCAGGTAGCTGAGGGACGCTGACGAGCATGAATGCATTTTAAGGAAGAATGATCAACAGGGAGAAGGGATGTGAAAGCATGGCTGAGTGGTTCAGTGTGGTTACCACTAGTTACACAGGGCAGTTCACTCAAAAACAAAAGCTCAGTTCCTCAATCACACCAGCAGCGTTTCTGGCATTCATTCATATGGCTATCTCGAACAGTACAGACAAAATGGTTCTACTCAAAAGTCGTCTTGAACCGTACTGTAGAAGCAATGACAGAGCAACTGAGGATAGCAGGGAACAGAGAAGACTAGGAGCGCCTGGAGCTCTCTTCTGTGAGGCTGAGAAGACTGGGTGTGTAATGAAGGCTGCCCTGGAATAGCAGAAGGGCTGTTGTGAAGAAGTGACTATTTTGTTCCACTTCAGGCACTGAGGAGTATGACTTGGCTCGAAGCCTTTTTTGAGACTGACTGATATTATAGCAGAGAATAACCTTGAACTTCTTTCTGGTCCTCTTGTACTTCCTTGGTACTGTGATTACAGACAGGCATGTGCTACCAGGCCTGGGGTATGCAGTGCTGAGGACAGAATCTAGGATTTCATAAAGCTAGGCCAGCATTCCAACAACTATATCTCCAGCCCCTTAAATAAGAAACTTGATAAAGATGTATTTTTATTGCATGTGTATGAGTGTTTTGCCTGCTTGTATGTATGTGTACCCTGTGTGTACCTGGTATCCCTGGAGGTCAGAAGAGAGCACTGGATCCCTGACATGGAGTTATGGATGGTTGTGAGCCATTACACGGGAGCTGGGACTGAATGTGGGTTCTCCGCCAGAGGACCAACTGCTTTGATCATTGAGCCATCTCTCCAGTCCAGAATAAAAATTTGAGCTGGCAGAGCTTTGGAGATGGTTCAGTGGGTTAAAGCACTTGTCACATAAATGTGAGGACTTGAGTCTGAATCCCCAGAACTCACGTAAAATTGAGCAGACTAGTGTAATTTCTATAATCCCAGGGCTCCCGTTGTGAGCCGGGAGGTAGACAGGAGTCAACCCAGAAATTTGCAGGCTAGCTAGCTTTGCAAATGTAATGCTCTGAACAACAAAGAAGAAACTGTCCCAAAACTCAAGGTGAAAGGTAAGAAACTATCTGAAGTTGTCCTCTGACCTCTACCTCACCCAAAACTGCTAAAATTTATACCACAGCTACCCTTAAATTTGATTTCCCCTGGCAAACAGTTGGTTCTCTGAATCCATGGACACAGCCAACTGAATTGGAAATTTTTTTGGGGGTGGTGGAGGGAATTGTACTGAGCATAGGTAGACTTTATTCTTGCCCTTATCAATGCAATATGGCATAACAAGGTTACATTTCCCCCCATGACTCCTAGAAAAGTGTTTAGCTCAGGCTGTCCAGGAACTTCATGTGTAGAGCAGGCTGACTTTGAACTAATTGAGGGATTCTGTATCTGCCTCTAAAGTGCTAGGATTTACAGGTGTGTGCCATTGCCATCATACCTGGCTAAGACACCAGTCGTTGTATTTATTGGGTATTATACCTAATGCAGAGCTGACATGAAGTACAGGAGTTGTGTGCATAGGTTCACATGCAAATAGTCTATACAAGGAACTTGACTGTCTTCCAGTCTGACTGTTCATGGGTTTGGATTGTCCTGTAAGCAGTCTTCCATGGACAGTGAGGGACGTGCACATTTTTCTGTTTGGTTTTTCGAGACAGTTTCTCTGTGAAGTTTTGGAGCTTGTTCTGGAACTCTGTAGCACAGGATGGCTTCAACTCAGATCCACCTGCCTCTGCCTTCAGAGTACTGGGATTAAAGGCGTGCACCACCACCGCCCAGCGGATTTAAGTACATTTAAATTCATTCTGCCTGCCTGTTAGATACTGCCTTTAACTTACTAGGATCGGGCATAACCAATGTGCCAGGCGTACACCAGCTTACTTTTTTTCTTCACTATCAAGTCTGTCTCTGAGTAGGGCATAAGGCTATGTGGTAGAATTTGCCTAGCATACACAAAAGGCCCAGAATTCTATCCCTGGCCCTGCAAACAACACAGCCACCTTGTAAAACCGAGACCTCTACCCCAACTCCACAGGGCTGTACTTTAAGGCCTGTCAAATTCCACTTCTGGATTTCAAAACATGAAAACGCTCATACGGCTTTCTAAAGCACATGTTGACAGCAAACATTTGCCGTCATTGTTCCTAATTCCTCTGGTCTCTAATCACAGGGAAGTCAAAGATGTGGCAGTACTCAGTTGCTGGATGGGATAGTGGAGGTGCACTGCCTAGTTGGGAACGGGAAGCTAGAGTCTGTTGACTATAAAGACAGCAGGAACTTATCCGCGATCTCCTTGCAGATACGGTGTTTTAGCACGCTTGTATTTGTTTTCCTTATCGGCTTCAGCTACCAGCTAGGGCAAGTTATCACCGGAACTTATAACTGTCTCTGCCTTCTGACTGGCTCCTACTTTATACACTTTTTCGCACATGCCCACCGCATCATCGGTCAGGACCGGCTCACGACCTCCCGTGGACTTCCTCGCCCAATTCTCGAGCGGTTCATCTGTGCTCATGGCTTTCTCACATATAAAATCTGTACTGAGTCTAGTTACACAGATGTCCAATCTCTGTTAACCTTCAAGCAACTCTAGGGCAGGCAGGGGCAATGCGGTTTCAGTTTCGAGTGCCTTCCGGGTGGTACCCAGGACCTGGCAGGCATCCTATAAATACTGGCTGGGCAGCTGCAACCGGAGGAGGAGGGGAGGGGGGGCAATGAACTCTTACCCAGACGCCCAGAAGCATCTTCCCTGAGGTGCTCTCGGAGCCCGAAAGGAGGCGGGGAGCGGTGAGCAGCGCGATGCGCGCCGGGCAGGCCGAGGCGGTAGAGGGATGCACCCAGGGCGAAGGCCCAGAGCCCGACAAGAGGCGCGGCCGGGCCGCTCTCCTCGTGACTCCTCCTTCCCCCCTCCCCGCAGCAGTCGCTGCAAGTCAGGTGATTCCAGGCACGTGATGCACACCACCTACCCTGCTGCTCCGGAGTGGCAACCCACCCAGCCAATAAGGAGCCGGTTCTCGGCGGCAGTCCAATTATCCGGTTTGGGGGCGGGCCCAGCGGCGGCAGCGGCTGCCGGGGGCGGCGGCACCAGCGGCAGCAGGGGGAGGCGGCGGCCTGGCCTGGCCTGGCCTGTCAGGGCGCGGGCGGCGGCGGTCCAGCACCATGTCCCTGCAGTACGGGGCGGAGGAGACGCCCCTGGCCGGCAGTTACGGAGCAGCCGACTCGTTCCCCAAGGACTTCGGCTACGGCGTGGAAGAGGAGGAAGAGGAGGCAGCGGCGGGCGGCGGCGGGGGCGCGGGGGCCAGCGGTGGCTGCGGCCCGGGCGGCGCTGACAGCTCCAAGCCCAGGATCCTACTCATGGGGCTGCGGCGCAGCGGCAAGTCCTCCATCCAGAAGGTGAGCGCCCCGCGCCGGGCCTCCCGCCCTCGGTCTCGCTCCGCCCGCAGCGCTCAGGTGGCGGCCGCCCGGGAGGCCTGAAGAGGGTGGCGGCCTGGCCCTGCGTCCCGGCGCACGGTCCACGCCTGCGAGTGCGGAGCTTGGGCGCCACCCGCCCGGGGTCCCCGACCTGGGCCTCCAACGCCCGACTCCACGGGCCGAGGGCCGAGCGGGGCAAGGAGGCGACGCTGGCTGGAGGGTGGAGGCAGGTGCCGGGCACCGCCCTACATCTCCGCCCTCTGGGTCACAGCCCCTGTGGCGTTGAGGAAACCGACTCGTTCTCTCCGGTTCTCACGTGGAGAACTTGGTGAGCGTGCTCCCCTGCAGCTCCTCACTTAGGTGACCCGAGTTTTCAGGGAGTCCCCGCCCAGGCTGCGGGCCACGGCAACTCCAGAAAGAGTTGTGGCCAAGACATTGGGCAGCGAAGTACCTGCTGTTATTAGTCTGGTGAAGACTTCCGTGACGTTTATTGGGGGGGGGGGGGGGAGGGTCCCATCACTGCAGGGTCCCATCACTGCACCGACTTTTAGTTCTTGTCGCCCGGTGATTGCAGCTACAGGTGACAGTCCCCTGTAACTGGTCACACACAGTGCATTCTTTTTCACCTTGGGTCTGTCAAGATCTAGTAGAATGCCTAAGGCGTTTTATTTTCCTTGAACAGGAAAATAGAGGCAGGGTTGATTTTATTTCATCAATCGTTCCCATTACAAACTGCGAACTTCTGATAAAACTGGTATCGCTGACACCCAGGCTTTTCCCGTTTCCATTCTGACACAAGGTTTATCCAGATCTTTCTGGTATTTTGTAGATGCGGTGTTTTTTGTTTTTTGTTTTTGTTTTTTAAGTCGCTACCCTAGCTCTAGCTGGACGGTAGTGGCGCACGCCTTTAGTCCCAGCACTCGAGGCAGAGGCAGGTGGATCTCTGTGAGTTCGAGGCCAGCCTGGTCTACAGCGCTGGTTCCAGGACAGCTAGGGCTGCTACACAGAAAACCCTGTCTCGAAAAAAATAAATAAAAGTAAACTACCCCCTCCCCCTGCATTTGCTGAACTATTTTATTTACCTTAATTCTTTTGTCAGTCTCAAAATTTGGGCTTTTGGGGGGAAGAAAGGTGCGGCAGTACTTTGTAGGCTTGAACACAGGCCTTTTCAAACTGGTACTGCGAATTTTTGTCTCTCTTCCAAGTTAACACTGAGAGGCAAGTTTGCTATATGTTAGGATTGTATCAGGCAAGCCTTAAAAACTACATCTCCAGCCCTGCTGGTTCCCTCTGTCCCTCCTTCCTTCCAACTTCCTTCTTTTCTTTTTTACATATCTCAGGCTAGCCTTGATTGAATTTCTGGTCCTGAGTCTACCTCCGAGTGCTGAGAGATTACAGGTGTGAGCACGGTGAAGGTTTTACCTGGTGCTCATTCCCAGCTGTGAGACTTAACAATTTGCTGTCTTTACCATTTCTTTTCTTGTGTAGCTGCCGCTTCCCTCCTCCCACAGGCCTCCCCACTTCTCACTCTGGACAATTTTGCATTCTGTTCAGATTGGTTTTTTTGTTTGTTTGGTTTTTCTTTTTTTCTTTTCTTTTTTTTTTTTTTTTGTTTTTCTAGACAGGGTTTTTCTGTATCTTTGGAGCCTGTCCTGGAACTATCTCGAACTCCCGGAGCTCTGCCTGCCTCTGCCTCTCTAGTGTTGGGATTAAAGGCATGTGCTGTCACCGCCCGGCTCATTCTGTTCAGATTGTGAACTCAGTGAGGGCAGGATCCAATCTATTTTTTTTTTTCTTGTTCCTTAGAGGCGGAGGTAAGCTTGTGTTATTTTTGAATGAGTTAGTTTTAAACTTCATCTAGAATAGTTTCATGATCTTAAAGCAGGTGTTGACAAGTTTAAAACAGTAGAGCCTGACGAAATGGCACTGATTTCAGTACTGGAGGAAGTAAAGAGAATTGAATTTTGAGTCTGGGCTACAGTATAGCTAAGACCCCTTTTCAAAACAAAACCCCTTCCCTCCCAGAATAAAAAATTACAAATACCCTGAATGAAAACCAAACACATGGGAACAGCGTAAGCAAGAGATGGTGCCACTAGTAGTAACGTAGTTAAGATAGTAAAAGAAAACTCATTTTACAGTGGGTGAGGGGAGCTGACTCAGCGTCTTCTGTCAGAAGTAGAAGAACATTACCAGTGATTTAGCCTCCAATTATTATTTCTTTGGTTTTTGTTGTTGTTATAGGTCAAAATTTTACTGTCAATGATATGGGATTTTTAATATAAATTCTGTAGTTAAATAGTTGTGAAATCGTTTCTGTTTCTCTTAACAGGTGGTGTTTCATAAGATGTCACCAAATGAGACTCTCTTTTTGGAAAGTACAAACAAGATTTATAAAGATGACATTTCCAATAGCTCCTTTGTGAACTTCCAGATTTGGGATTTTCCTGGACAGATGGACTTCTTTGACCCAACCTTTGACTACGAAATGATCTTCAGGGGGACAGGAGCATTGATATATGTCATTGATGCGCAGGTAGTCAGGCATGATATGTGTGCTTTCTTCTCTGGTGGCAAAAAGATGTAGGAACAGAGGAAATTTGTTTGTTTCCTTTGTCACATGCTTGAAGCTTGTCTCTTCCCAGTAGATCCCCTGACAGTGTAAGACAGTCAGCTACAGAGGGATTTTTGGGAGCAGACCTGTTATTGTACAATTCCAGACTCTCAGGTGCTTAGAAGATGTCATTTACATTTCTTGAGTCCCACTTAATGAACAGTTACCATTGACTTTGTATGTTTATTGGTTAATAGTAGCTGTTGCTGTAGATAGTAGATATTACAGTGGTCACCTCATCCATTGAAGTATCCCCATCAGTGGCCACAGGAAGACTATGAGAAATGAGTCCATTCTACTTTTCCTGATTTAAGTTGAACTTAATCTAGCAGCACACACTAAGGGCCCACTGCATGGTAGGGAGTCGGATGGGCGGGCTGTGTAGGGAAGGAATGCTTTCTGAGCGCTGCCAGCTCCGTGGTGCGTGCCTTCTCTTACACCATCTGATTTATGGAGTGGTGTGGGTAGTTACCCTTGACTTGAGGTCAGGGTTTAAGCAGTTTACTTAGAGCCACACTCCTGACAAATGGCAGAGCTGGGATTACTTTAACAGTTCTATTGGGGAAAATGTGCGTTTTGCCTTTCCTTCTGTTACAGTGACAGCATTAAAACTTGAGGCATTGACTTGGTATTTGATTTCCTATCTTAAGAAACGGAAGAGCTATTTACTGGTTATATGTCAGCACGTCTGAATATTTATGAGTAATTAGGATAGCCTATTTTCTGTGGTTGGGGAAAGAGGTGGTTTGAGGCTTTCTTAACTTGTTACTTGTGTTTTATAAGGTTTCTTGTTAAAACTCTTTTGTTCTGACTTTCAGGATGATTACATGGAGGCTTTAACACGACTTCACATCACTGTCTCTAAAGCCTACAAAGTTAACCCAGACATGAATTTTGAGGTTTTTATTCACAAAGTTGATGGTCTGTCTGATGATCACAAAATAGAAACACAGAGGGACATTCATCAAAGGGCCAATGATGACCTTGCAGATGCTGGGCTAGAAAAGCTCCATCTTAGGTAACAACATGTGTGTTTGATACGAGAGCCTTGTAAATGTATTCCCATCTCTGTCATTACGCACACCAGCTTTCTGTGACTGGTGGACCCTTTCCCAATTCTGTAATCATTTTGATCTCTTCTTTGTTGAATTCCAAGCTGTTTTGTAAGCTTTGTGTTACTGAGAGATTACTTTCCCCCTTTTCATTTTCCTGGTGGTTGAAGTCATGTGAAGTATTTCCAGTGGTGCTTTTGCAAACTCATCTCGAGGGACTGGAATCAGGCTCTTTCCTCATGGCGTGAGTCTGCCTTGGGACTTCTCCCCCTCTTGGTTTCTTCACCTTTTAACCCCAGTTGGCTTTGTGCAAGAAATCTGTCATAATTTTTGTGAAAGTTGACTTTGGGTCTTGTCAGTGTCTCAGTAGGAAGAGCCCAAGTGTGGACTGATTCTGGTGTGTCTTAGCTTTTCAGACAGCTGTGGTTCTTAGACAGTCTGAGTTAGGTAAGTTGTCTTCTGTGCTTACATAGTGCTGCTACTGAGTTTGAAGGACTGCTGCTTTGCAGTTAAATATCAAGAACTTACCCTAAAGAACACATACTAATATGGAATGATGGTTATGTATTTTGTGTATTTGTATTCTAAAAGTGTATGAGGAATGTTATTGTCTATCTTTTGTGATAATGGAAAGAAATGAGTAATTACAGTACATGGGAGGATGTCCACTTGATCATAAAAACAGCTTAAGGGGAAACCGAGAAGAGTTGCAAGTGTAGTTTCCTTATCCCTGCTCTATTATAAAAACTT